GTGGTTGCTGGCACCGAGTGATGGCAGCAGGTTTAAGGAGCTCCTTTGATAGCCGTGCGATCGCGGGCAGGACCTGGCTCCTGCTCRGGGTGCTCTGTGACCCGTGCGGTGCCGCCGTTCCCATGGGCTTAGCACAGGGCTGCCTGCACGTTCAGCAGAGAGGGTTTTTTTCTCAAGTTTTATTGAACCTTTTACAGTTGGCCCCTCTCTGTGGCAGAGATGTGTGCGATGCCGGTGTCAGTAGCTCTCCAGCAAGAACCTCGAGAGGGCACAGATGGCAGTTTAGCTGTGGTGGGGACGTAGCTGCCATAGGGGACCCCTCACACCTGCAGCTCTGTCCCTTTGGGGGCCTGCTGGCCCTCCACAGCTCAATACCTGCTCAATGGCTCTCTCGTTAGCCCTGTTCAGGGAGAAGGAGAATGGAGGGACCATCCTCTTCCTCACCATCAAAAGGAGAGCAGAAAATTGCTTTAGGATTCTGCCCTAGACTGAGGCAGCCTTCAGTTTGGAAAATTTATCAAATTGGTGCACAGTGCTTGACATGAGTGGTTACTAAGGCCCCACAAGCCTGTCCTGCCCTGGGTACAGAGCAGCATGGAGGAGAATTTATTTTTCCCTTTCCCGTTCTGGTTCACAGTAAGCAGGTCATCCGTTGTCGTTTGCTGCAGTCACTTTGTGCTACCTAAAAAGCTTCTGATGGGTTTCAGGGATGTCAGGTTGTTTATAGAGAGTAAAAGAAAGACTGAATGGAGAGAAAGATGAGGGTAGAAGGGTAGATCAGGGTGAAGAGGAAAGAAATGGTCTCTTTTTTTTTTTTTTTTTTTTTTTTTTGTTTGCAAGATACTTAACATACTTTAATGGGAAAAGAGCACAGAAAGTACAGAGTTAAATTAAGTCCTGTAGTCACCCATAGGGACGGTGTAGCTATGACTTTTCAATCTGTGGATGGAAATTTATAATCCTAGCTGATAGAGTAAGTAAGTCTATGTCTATTATTCTGCTCTTCTTTATGCCTTTTTCTTGACAGTCACATTCTGGCTGTGACTGTCCTTATTTGATTACTTTTAAATCATGACTTTCACATAAAGACAGGGAGAGTTCATTTTACTTATGCCTTAGAATTTTGAGGGTTAGAATTGGAATTTTGGGTCCTTGCTGTGTTGTAAAGGTTCTTGAAAGAAATGTGGTAATTTCAGGTCTGTGTTAGAGGGTTTCTTACTCGTCCTCCCCCCTGCCTCCCTTTTAGATTTGAGAATAATTCTGCATATGAAGAATCCACTTAAATCTAATTATCGCTATTGACATGTCCTTCTGGAAAATCAACCTTCTTATTCTGACTCTCAACTGCCAGAGGAGTAGCAGCTTGGAGCTCTTATCTTCATTCTTCTATAAGAATTACTAAATAAGCTGTAATCAGAAAGCTGGATGTGCCTTTTTTTACCCAAGGTTGTTTTGACTTTCACGTTAATTTTTTACTCAGATAAAAGGTCCATTCCCCAGAGCAGAAAATACCTGATTTTCAGAGCACATCCCTTGGACATCTCGTTCAATAGACAAGTACTTGATCATACTCAGGGTGGCTTTTGTGAATGGAAGGTGCTTTGCAGGACTGAGTCTATCAAAGAAAGTACAGGTTAAGACCATATAGACTAAATGAGTGCAACTTTCCTGTGACCTGCTCACCCAGAGRACAGGTTCTTGGCTGATGGAGGAAGATGCAGGAGCAGCAGGTCGTGCAGCTACCGTGGGCAGCAGCTTCCCAAGCAGCTGGAGCTGCCCAAGCAGTGGTGCCGGAGGTTGGGTCCCGCAGGGCCGCTGCGTGGGGAGAAGTGGGTTGTGCTGGTGTCCTTGCACCACATGGGTTAGCAGGAACATGCAGCAGATGCGGTGCAATTCCCGAGGGGAATGAGCCAGGGCTTTCCCACAGGCGGGTGTCACGGTGCAGCAGGGCTAGTGCTGCTGACGTTGTCACAGTCGAAAGATTTTCACAGGAGAGCTTGTGGGCAAGGGTCATGCTGTTCTAACTGTGATGTCTGATTTCCTTCCTTTGTGTTCTTAGCACTATCATTAACTACAGAATTTGCGCACTGCCGTAGTACGTATTGCATATTCCTATTTTTTCCCCTGATCATTCAGTTATTTAATTGAGGATGTATTTTATTTATCTTCAAATAAAAATGTCCATGGGATATATATATGGTGCAAAAGGTTCACTAGAACTAGTAACAGTTACTTAAGGCGTCAAGAAGTAGGTACCAGCTCCATGTGGTTACTTGGAAAACTGTAGCTCTCTTCTGTTTTGTAAGAAATTTTGTATTAAATTTCATGTAATATCAGAATTGTATGCTAAACATTTTTGAGGAGATGGGAATCAATTTTCATCTTGTGTTTATAAAGAGCTTGTATTTGTAGGACAAAATAAGTCCTTGTAAGAGCTTGTGGGGAAGGTGTTTCCTGTGTTCTGAAACCCATTAAACAGTTTTCTCTTAGAACTTTATTGGCAATAAACTCTTCTTTGTATTAAGGGTGGGGAAATACATTCTGAAGATATTCTGCATATGTGATGTATTAGAAATATGAAACATGTCTTGAGTGGTAGCAGTATAAAATTCTAAGACTCATTCTTTATTTCAGTGCTGATATTATTCTCTCTGAGAGGAATGGACATGTAATCTTGCCGACCAGAGTAAGAAACATGCTTTGCAAAATATTCAAAAGTAGAATTCCCAATTTCTAGTATTGGTCATAAAGTAAAAGGAGTATGAATTCTGTATCAGTGGAGGAGATGCACTGGCTCTTTACTTCAAGGTTGTTTGTTGCACATGGAGTTATTCTGCCGTGATGCTCCCTGTTGTTTCACTGTGCTGCTTTTAAGCTTTTGCACCCCTGTTTTGTTTTGCTTTGTTTTTTTAAAAGGTGAAGTGAATGCTGAAAGACAAGGATACACTTTCCAGGGAAAAAATATTAAAATTTTCAAGTGTTTCTTCTAGTTATTCTGCATAGCTATTTCCTTATGTTGTATGGGTATTATCCTCTCAAGGCAAGTGTAGTAATTCAGAGAGAGGCCTGAATGACTTCAGGCCGAAGCTGAGGTTATTGGACCAGCAGATTTTACTCAAGTGGCGTGTGCTTTTCGCAGAGATTTAAGTTATAAACATGAYGTCGTGGCTGAGTGTTGGACTCTGCCAGTAAGAGGATAACAGGCAATGCTTTCTAATTAAATCCAGAGCAGTTTAGGGAACCATGTGGGAAAAGAGAGAGGCAGCATAAAAAACAGGCATCACTGCATGGGGTTCTGCAGCAAAATTTGAATCAGAAAACCTTCACTGTGAAATTCTCCCATTTTTCCATGACTTTTCCCAGCTGGCAGGCACATGACAAACACCTTTCTGAAATTCATCTAAACAATATGGCTTTTATRCATATACAGGCATAGAAATATCAAAGAGATTATTTTTTAAGAATGTGGACAATAACATTTTTTTCTGTCTTGCTCTTGGAAACAAAATGTTTGGGCTGAAATTTTCACCAAAATAATCAATCTTACATTGATGTCTGACAAGGTTGGCCTTTAAAATTATCAAATAAGGCAGTAAGTGTGAAATGCAGGAGGTTTTTAACAATATGCACTGCTACCTGCTCCATTTAAATTTGCTGTCAACACCTAGATATGTTCTTTAGCAGTTTGCTGATAATGCTGGAAGATCTCTGTTCAGGGGAGCCGAAGGATTCATTTCTCCTGCTTTTGTCTGCTCCCAGAAAATTTCTGTTATTTTGGCTTCCTTTCATGACATTTAAATCAAGATGATGCAGCCTTGAAAGATTTTCAGTGACACACACTTATTGGTAAAGACCAAAAAAAAAAATCTTTACCTGGAGGAGAAATTCACAAGGATTGTTTTTCTGGCAGTGGCAATTGGGGGTAGATTTATTAGGTGGGATAAGTGATGCCAATGCCAAAGTTGCATTGATGGCTAAGTTTGTGGGTGCCCTCTGGAAAGGACTGGTAGCATTTCCGAGTGAATTTGGRCCTCTCTCAAGCAGTCTCTGCTTCTAATGAGATGGTACCAGGGCTTTAAGGGGGGAAAATAAAGCCCATCAGGGAAAGATGTGCCTTTAGATAAAACCTCCCAGCTCCTGTGCTAGAGCCAGGCCTGCCCCATTGATGTGTGAGCCTTAGCTGCACTGATCACTTGTTTGCAGACTCTGAATTGTCCGATTTCTTTTCAGTGCTACAGAGTTGTGTAAAATGTTGCACACTCTCAGGAGAGAAAAGATGACTAGGGATTGATTGAGAAAGCTGTGACAGGAGCAGAGTTAATAAAATCCTGCCAAACCTTGTGCCTTGATTGGTATTCAGCTCAGGACTGTTCCTCCGTCAGGTCTGTAGGCAAAAGATTTATTGATGGCACAGATGTTTCTCTCAACATTTCAACGGCGCGCTTGACACGTGCTAACGTTGGAAGCTTTCACGTAATCTGGAGGTGAAAATATGGTCATTTTGTCAAAACGATCGTGAGGATGTTTGCTTGCTAATGTGATTCTAAAATAATCCTTTATTTACAAAGTACTGTTGAACAGAAGAAAGAAGAATTAAGTTTCACGTGGAGAGATTAGAGTATTAACACAGAAATGAAGTATGTGTGTTTAGGTTTGTGCTGCCACCTTTCTGCARGCCTTACCTTTTGGCTTGAACTCCTACACTATAAAATGGGGGAATTAGTGCTATCTTAATTGATGATTGTAATATTGTCAGAATAAACTGATTAATGGATGTTAAGCTTATAAGTACTGAGATGATGGTGCCTAAAGGCAGGCAGGCCTGCTAGCCTGGCATCACTTCCTTGCAACAGCAGCAGCTACAATAAGCAGCATACAGAATATTTCAGTAAAAATGGGCAAGAGTGTCAGTTATGCAGAAATATATTCTGTTCTTTCAACTGTTTGCAATCAAAGATTGGAATGAGACATTTTAATAAGCACTTGTGTTTCCTTCCCAGAATTACAACAACAGCTGCTTGTATGATGGACCTACGGAGATATCCGCTGGATGAGCAGAACTGCACGCTGGAGATTGAGAGCTGTAAGTACTTCTGCAAATCCTACTTATTCTGTGGTCAACTGCTTCAGACTTTTTATATCCGTATTTATTTATTTATTTCTCTTTACATGCTACTAACCTAGTTGTCTTTATATCTGATGATATTTAGATCCTTGTAAACACAAGCAAAAAAATAGCTTTCCAGATGGATTAGTAATTTGTGGCACAAGGATTAGCAAAAGTTATTCTGTGTTTTGATGGACAATTTTCAGCTTTAAAAGTCGCATTCAAATGCCTTGCTGGAGTTCATGTGAGGAGCRTGAGGATTATTATCAGTTCTTTATCCTCCTCCACTGCTGAACTGTGCTGCTGCTTGTTTCCATTTTTAAAGGGTGGCAAGGGTTAGATTCGTCTTGGCAGTAGGTGTTTTGCAGTTGTTTTTTTTATCTCTCCTTCTACTGTTAAATTTTCAATGCTCCTGCAACGTAGCCTATTATGCATGCTGATTTAATAGCTGATCTCTCTACTGAGCTTTCCGTATAGATAAAATCTGTGCTGTGAAGTAAAATTTCATATCTCTTTTTCTCTGAAAGCTCTTTAGGGAATTGTAAGTAAATCAAAGGGAAAAAAACAATTGATAATCACATTTATAAAGACAATATTGCATGCATGCGTTACTTGACACTCTAATTAAGATTGTGTCAGCACTTCCAAGGAATGTTTCCTGTTTTGGGAAATCTGTAGATAACTCGGCTGGGGAATATTACCATGTTCAAGGTGTCAAGTAAAATGAAAAATAATGGCATGTTTTAAGGTGCACACACAGAAGTGTATGTGGTATTGGAAAATTCTGGGTTTAAAAACAAGTTACACTTGGTCTACATGTATGCAAGAGTCTAGCATTGATGTGGGGCAGCTGAGATTCATCCTCCTATTSTAGAAAGCATTTAAGGATATACTTTAAATTTGCTTTCCTTTTGGCTTGTATTTTAAATGTATGTAAAAATCCCTTCCTGCATTACATTTGTGGCACTTCTGATCAAACTAATTCACATGCCTGAAGCAAGTACATTGCGTTTTTATCATACACATTCATTCCTTGTTCTGTGGCGCAATACTTAAGCAGCAATTGTGATTATGGATTTTGCTGCTTCTAAAAAAATAAATGTAAAATCTTTGTTTTATTGCTGTGGACTACAGAATTCATACTGACTGAACCTGAGTCAGGGTTTTAGAAATGCAGTCTTAAAATCAGCCTACTGTGCCCTGGTACRAGAGAAGAATTCTGTACTGGCAAGATTTTGCTCAGGTCTGGAGAGCTCGGTGGGTTACTCTTGCTCTGTCAGCATCTTCTAATCATTACTGTAGTGAGGACCTGGAATTTGTTTTTTTCCAATGTGTGCAGAGGCACGATTTTGGTGGCAAACCCAAAGAAAAAATTATCAATGACTCGTTAGGCACCCGCGAGGGCAGCTCCCTCCCTCTCAGCCCTGGGATCGGGTGTAATCCCMTGTGCTCTGACAGCTGCGGATCGCTGAGATGCCTCAATCTCCTTGGATTCACAAACTAAACACTGCCCTCCCTGTCATAACCCCTCTGGGAAATGTTACCAGGAAAGGCCTCCCAGGTCAGTCCTTAGCCAAAACTGAAAATGAAGTGTATTGCCCCTTTTCGACAGGAGCGTGTGCTCTCAAATCATATTTGGAATGGGGGCTCCTGCCTTTTGTCCCTTCTGAAGGAGGAATTTGAGCCCAGATGCCTTACCTTGCAAGAACCAATCTTGGCTACTGAGGTCTTATCTTGCAATTATTGTCCACTTGATAGGAAGAGCAGTATCAYTGGATCAGAGAGAGGGTGGGTAAGTTTAACTTAGCCTAGTCGTTAAGATGYTTACTTACAGAAGAGCTCTCTTGTGGATCTCTCTCTTAGCTGTGTTGCAGCATTGCAAAAGTAAAATGGTTTTTAAAGGGATACTGCCTGCAGCTAGCCTGCCCACTACTGCAGGAGCAAGGGCCATTTGAGAGTGTGGATAGAGGCATTGAACTGTGCTTTGGAATACTTTTCTGCTTCATTAGAAAATTTATACRCTTTACTGGATAGAATAACATATATAAAAGCCTGAATCTGTCTAATCTTTATAARTTGTTTTAGATGAAATATTTCTTAGATAAATTAAAAAAAAAAAAAAAGACAGAAAATGATCTCTTGAGTCATTTGGTGCAGATAGTCTTATAATCACTTCTTTGAACTGATAAAGTTCCGTGTTAACAATTAGCTTGATTTCTTGACTTGCTGATTCTGCTACCTGCTTTACAGCTGCTCTCTTATGATAGTTAGCAGAAGGTTTCTGAATTCTACCCTAAGTGCTTTCATGGCCAAGAAGGCATGAAATTATACTCATTCTGTGTTCTAACAATGTTTCTGAGTTTAATGTCTTCTCCAGCCCCACTGTGACCTTCATAATATATTTAAGGAAAGCAGTCATATTTTCTCATAGGTTTCACTTCATTAAACTGAACATGCCAGTCCCTTTAAACTTTCTCATAAGAGCTAATTCTCCGTTTCTCTTAACATGCTAATTCTAATTTTTGCAGCTGCTACAGTTTGAATTCATCATGCTTCAGTAGGAATGTTGAGTAGTAAAGAGTACCCCAGAAGAAATGTCTATTATGCTATAAAATTAATCCTTCCCTTATTTCTAGACATGATCTCCTAGAGCCGCCTTTGCCTTTATTCACAACTGCATAACTTACACACATCATTGCCTTTGCAGGGCCAGTGCACAGTAAGGTCTTTCCCTTCCTCACTTGTTACCAGCAGTAGACTTTTTGATAACATTTTTTTGCCTGATCCTAAAAAACCATGACTTAGCATTTCATAATACTGTTTGCATTAAATCAGTCTCCTTGGTGTTGCTACAGTCTTCAAGGTTATCCAGTTTTTGCTATATTTGTTCTGATCGTTCTGCTTTACTGGTGTCTGCAGATTTTGTTTCATTAGGAATTTCATTAGCACACAAATATTAAAGAAGAATATTAATGCTGAGGAGGAGTGTGGCTTATAATCATTCCTTAGACTGAGTGTGATGTCTTTCAGTGTGATAGAATTTCCTATGCATTTTCATTCACCTTTACTAATGGTCAGGTTTTCAGCCAGTAGTACAAAAATGCTTCAATGCCAATTTGCATACATATTTTCTTAATTAAAAAAAAAAAAAAAAAGGATTTGTCTGACTGGATCTGTTTGTATTAATGTATTTAAGTTATGATAATTTTTATTCTATTTACCTTCCATTCCTTTTCCACCTTCTTTCTCCAAATCCTGTTATATTCAAGTGATTGGCTTCTTATTAGTTGTTTATGTTACTTTTTCAAATTTCAGCATGTCTGCTGAAGTTTAATTATTAAAAGAAATTTGATAGCTAATCAACCAGGAGACTGGAAGGGACTCAAAGGCAGACAGAAATACTGGCCAGTTTGCAGAATAGTGGTTTGTATTTGCATAAAAAAATAGATAAATCCGTAATGGATGTCCTTTAGCATAAATCCATATTGCATGTCCTGTAATGTAAAGGAGGGAAATGAGTGTGGATTTTCTGAATAATTTTCAAATATAGMTATTCAATATTCATCTGGTACGTTTGAACCGTTGTCCATTTCAATTGTATAGTTACACCTAAAGGCATTGAAATTTGCTTCAGTTCTTGTTTTGTCTCATTTCATGATAATGTGTTTGACATAGCTATAGTTGTATTGCTCACGAGTCATTGGCTATCCTGAGGAATCATTCAAAAACTGCCTTCTGAAAACGTATTTTCCATCTTTCCATTTGTTGCTCTTCAGCAACCAAGAACTCAAATAGCTTTTCCTTTGAAATATGTTCTCGGAAACTTTTTAGGCAGTGTATTAAAGATGCAGTATAAAAATAAATGCATTAAAGTCCTGATGTGAGGCCCTAGCAAGCGGGGAACTGCCAATCATGTGTATTGAGTTGGATAAAGCGCAGAGTCCAGATCAAAAAAAGAAAAGCCAGAAAGAAGAGAAGAAAGAGAATATCATTCCTCCCTGCTCCCTGTAGCTGTGGAGACCAACATCAAATGTTTCCTAATCAGATCCTCTGAAACATCATCAGCAAGAGAAAGGAAAATCATCTGCTTCTACTGSAGATAACTTTACAGATGTATATAAAGCATAGAAAAAAATCATAGAAGCCTTTTGCCGAAGCCTTGAGTATTTTGCAGATGGCAGATGGCTGCCCTGGTCATCAATCACAGGTATAACTGGGTCCCATGCTCCCAGAGCCAGCCAGCAACACTCATTCGGGTTAGAGGCGGATGTGCTTGACATCAGGCACATGATCTGCCAGTCCCCAGGATGTGGAGCATTCAGCAGAGGAGGCAATTGCAGGAAYATGTCATTTCTGACATTTCTACAATGATTGCAAAACTGAATATATGAGTTTGGGGCCTTTGGATGCTAGAATCTTATTTTTTTTTTTCTTCCACTTACCAATTTTATTATGTAAACCTTTGTCCCTTCATCTAAGTCCTTTTTGCAGTGTGACCCTTCTGTGGGGAGAATATTCTTCAACCTTCCTTGAATAAGGAATTAATCTTATTGCTAAAGTGSCCCCTTTTCTTCCTGGTGTGTCATCTGTGCATTTGGATGTCTTAATTTGGAGTATTGCAATTCAACATGTATAGCACTTTAGGGGAAGAGAAATGCACTAAGGAAGATCACAAATCACTTTAAGGACAGAAAAAATATGCTCAGTGCTGGCTCACATCATCTTCCTACTAGCAAGAGGGCGCGTTGCAAAATCTGCTCTTATTCATGGTAGTATCCAGTGTTTTGAGAAGATGGCAAAGCAAGTGGAGAGGGCAAGAGTCTGGTCACTGAGCTAAGGTAGCAGAGCACAAAGAAGCGAGATTCTGTGCTCAGTTCTCAAATCATGGTTAAATGTACTTAATTTGTCCATGCACAGCTGTTGCTGATCAGCTGCCTCCTTGGTGCATGCCACTTCTTTTCTTTAAGAAGTGTGCT